ACACCAAACAGCTTCCACGTAGTGCCCTCCATGAATGCTATCAATGGATAGGCGACGACCAAGCAAGAGGTGACTATGAAAATACGCCATGTATAAGAAATGCTTGTGATAAAATACGGTCCAATGAAGAACATGATACTCGATGGAACAGTTAATACAGCCATTAGAGTAGATGTAGGAAGCTCAGTTCCTACTAGAATATCTTGCACAGCCACAATCAGCACTTGATTAAGAACAGAACAAACTAAACCAAACGTGAAGAACACTAAAACTGCGCAAGATTTAGTAGCCATTTCTAAGTGACATCTCATGTGAAACTGCTTCATGAACGACAGAACTAAACATTGATTCACTGGAAAAAATCGCGTGCCATAAAGGTTGTAAATTTGATGGAAATATGATGTAAGTGTCCAAAATGATGTAAATTTGATGGAAATKATTTRCATCAAATTTACATCATTTTGGACACTTACATCATATATACATCAAAATTACAACCTTAAAAGCGCGCGATTTTTTCCAGTGATTGAGCAGAATTGAATAAATTGAGAATTAATTCCGGTTAATTTACATGCAGACAATGCAAATTACTCGCATGATGCCGGTTTGTTTAGTTTTCCGGCTAAGTCTCTTTCTTTGTTGTAGTTWTCTCGAGTATTTGTTGGGATGCAGTACAACGAGACTTTGCTAGCAGTAGCAGTGAACTTTTTTGTGTTCTTTTATGCTTTATTAGTCATTCGACGCGTAGCGTAAACTTTTGGCTAGTAGGCATATGTCAGGGACCGCTACACATTGGATTGGGGTGCTAACGACCGCCGAAATACGATACATTGAAATGTCCAAYTGTTATAAACTGTGACGTCATAATGAAATAGGGCAATTCTCCGTCTTCATTTATTCACATGACTTAATTAACATTTACCAGGCAAAAATCGTACATCCCTCTTCTCCGAGCCCACGCAGTAGTTCTGGTCAGTGGTGCTACCCAATCCATACAAGATGAATTTTCGACGTCGACAACTTCAATAGTGAAAACGATGAGGTAGCAACTGCTTCTTTAAAAGACAAGACAAAATGAAACAATATTGAATATACCATCATGAGTAAACCACAACCTAGTGGCCAAAAAGGCAAGCCCAAACGACTGTCCATCAGACGAACACGGTCTCCAAACATCGACACGAGCCGCCATGATGGTGGCGAAGGYACAGACACAGCTTTGCCTCCGGCTGCTCGTGAAAGACTGTGGAATCTCTTTGAACAAATAGAAAGAGAGTTTGAAAATGTCTATATTGAAAACTTTACGTGTAAGTATATTTTTGTTTTGATTATCCCGCAKTACCTGTAGGTGTTTGACCGGTCTCTGTTCAATATCGTTACTTATATTTTGGTAGCACAACAAATCAGAAAATATGGCATTCGAAAACAGGGGCTTCTTTGCAATTTGTCTTTTCTTGTTTTATTTTAATTATTAACGATAGCTATTATGGGTTACTTTGTCACTACGGATCTTTTTGTGTAGTTTTCTTTTAAACAATATTAAAGGAGAGATGTAACTTAAGTTTAAGTTAATTGTAAGCTTATGGAGGCCAGCTTTGAAATATTTTGGCTGATCGACATTAAAAGCTCACCATGAAATGATAATTAGTATGCTTCAATGATTTTGATGTCCATTGATATCAAATATTACGTAACACAATTACAATATCCAAATATGTCAGTTTATAATCATATTACATTCATTTGATATCAGCTAATATGGCTTGGGCTTCCTGTTTTTTTTGTTTTCTTTTTTTTTGCAATATAAGATGAGACATCAAAGACAGTCTCTTCCCAATCTGCTGGACTGCAAAAATGTGCGCTCTGATTATTAGATTACAGTTCAAGTATTATCGCAAACTAATGCCTAATCCCTTGCAATTTAATTTAATCATACATTTTGTAAATCATGATAATATTAATTCTAGTGAGAGAAAAGGTTGAGAAATTGGAGATGATCATTAATGGAGAGAAAAACATTGATGGTGATGTGTCATCAGATGGAGGACTTGCTAAACCTGGCTATTCCAAGAAACCTTGTGAGTATTTATTTTKAACTTTTAAAATACATATTATATCATAAATATTAATGATATTTTAGACAATATGAATTGGAACAATAAGCATCTTAATGAAGCACATAATCGAAACACATAATATTTACTCATTTTCAATCATTCTCATAAGATTCAAAAGACCAAAGACCAGCGGCCATGTTGGTTGAATGAACATACTAAGAGAAATGTTTTGTTGTCAAAGTTCAATTAAGATGGCCACTGTGACTTATATTACAAAGAATACAGAATATTCCATATTTTTGTTTAGTTGTATAATGTAAGCTCACTATCTTAATCAGCTGCAAGTCAACTTATGTCCCAAAAGCTGAAGACAACTTACAAAGCTTCAACTAGTAAGGTACTACAAATATGACCTTAAAACTGTCAATAAATTAGATATAATTAGGCAATGTTTGAGCTTTATGTATTATGTGAACAAACTTATTATCCCAACCTTTTTATGAAAAAAATGAAATCATTGTAATTACCAGTGCATTCAAAGAGCAATCAAAGTTAGTTATGGAATCATTTCGCATAGTTGATCCTAATTTACCAAACTCAGATTGTATCCAGTTTCAAAATTCCCAACCAAGCTACAAGCATAGAGTGCCACAGGCTCAGRAATTATGTTGGCCATAGAGACGGAGTGTGGGAAGTCACTTATGCTCGTTATGGCCCTGCAATCATTGCCACGGCCTCAGCAGGTATAGTTGCTAATTACATCATTAAAAATGAGTTATAGRCATCAATATAGTCATAAGTAAGGTATTATAAGATGTTATCAATAATGGAATTTCTAATGAAAAAAGTCACATATTTTTGCCTTGTTCCATATCATTGGGGTGAGAGATTATTGCAGTTGCAATCATAGCTTTKGTGACCAATCTTCACACTCMTTGCTCATTTTGTTATAGTAAGGTGCCTGTTTGGTTTTCATGTTTAACTGACTATGACTCATTTTACAATCAGATCGTTTAGCAAGAATTTGGGACGTTGAAACTGGTCARTGCTTACTGAAATACTTGGGTCACATTGGATCAGGTTAGAGATGARTCCAGCTTGGATTACACAATTTTGTACTGTCTAGTTAATGTTATTTATTATGATGTCACAAAATGTACAAAYTTATGTTGCACATAATTTTACAACAGTCAATGGCTGATGGKTTTCAMTTAATGTCTCATGGGCCACGTTTGTGGTTTATTGATCTACATGGCTACTTCTGATATCATGGCCTKTTACCATATGATATCAATGKCCTGTTTGGTCATGAGAATTTTCTGTCTCTCAACAGTAAACTCTGTCAGATTTCATCCAACAGAGCCACTTATCTGTACAGGTTTGTGCATAATCAGGAATAACATTTCTTAGAAATTAGTCATATGCAATCCAGTTATATTCTGATCTACAATGCTAATTATTCCTGGCCTAACATAACATGACCTGGGTATATAAGATATTTCATTATATATGCTGTTGAATTATCATTTAATTCATAGCATCTGGTGATGGCACATGTCATGTCTGGAGAACAGCTGTCTCAATACCTGAACCAGTAAGTGATTCTATGTTGATCTAATGGTTTCCTAACAAAACCTCAGTCTCAGACCTTTTTTTGGAATAAAACTATCCAAACCAAGTGCAGAACAATTTCCATTTAAATTAGTTACTTCAGATCAAAATTTTGTGGCCTTCATTTACCTCTTTATTTATCTTTTAATATTTTGTAACTTACACTAGATATGATTTTTATCGAGTGAATAAAGACTTATTATTATTATTATTATTATTATTATTATTATTCACATAGTGATTTACAACTTTCTGTCTTTACAGCGTTCACTTCCTGGGTCTGCAGATGAGGCTGATGCAGGCCAAAGTGACCAGGATGAATTAGATGGTAAGATGTTGTGGTTTTAAGTTAACCATGCATAGTTCCTTCTTTTCGTATCTTTAAGATTCTCAGCAGACATCCTTTTCCTCCTCTATTTTTCATCTCTTGGGATTCCTTTGCTAAGGCTTTGTCATCTTTTATACATGAGGTTACATTTCCTGTAATCTCAGTCTATGATTGATTGATTGATTGATTGACACTAAATCCAGCTTCAAGTTTTCCTCAATCAAGTTCTTGTTTCCCCCCAAGTCATGTGATTTCCAAATTCATGTGATTGAAATCACTTTGCATTCAACACACCAAATTAATTGTAAAATATCTGATTTATGTTTACATCAGGCTTTGATAATCAAGATGGATCAACTCCTTCAGTACTTAAAGCTGCTACATTGGAACTTAAAGGCCATGAAGGTAATAAAGTACAAATGATAAATTAATAGTACTTAATGTCAAATTACAACTTGGTGCTATAATTGGATTAATTATTAAGGTTGTTACTTTTGATAAAAGGTACCGGTATTTAAAATATATATATTTTGTTGTTTTAAAAGGATCCCTCAGCGCAGCAGATTGGTTTACCACTGGGAAACAAATAGTAACAGCTTCATGGGACAGAACAGCCAAACTATGGGATGTGGAGACAGCTGAGCAAGCTCATACTCTTACAGGTAAGAGACAAGCCATAGTGACTTCAAGGCACCACATACTGTACATGTACTATATGTATATAGTATTGAAGTCAGTGAAGGTTTATACCGAAACATATAAGACAAAATAATGTTGATGACCAAACTGCACACTCTCTGTATTATTCGTCCTTGTCAAATGGAGCAGTTTGAATTAAATCTTGAAAGTACTGTTAAATATTAATACCTGACATCAATTTCAACATATTTCAGGTCATGATCAAGAGTTGACTCACACTTGCACCCATCCCACTCAACAGCTGATTGTGACGTCATCAACAGATACTACGTTTCGGCTGTGGGACTTTAGAACCCCCTCGATTCATTCTGTCAATGTATTCCAGGGACACTCTGAGTAAGCAACCTCAATGCATAGAAAGTTGATTATCAAATGCATTTGGAAAGACTTATCATTTGTTTGGTGAATTCATGTTTATTTTTAGAACTGTAAGATCCACAGCTTTCAGCACAACTAAGGATATTGTTGTGAGTGGAAGTGATGACAGAACAGTTAAGGTAAAAGTATACATGCAGTACTGGATTATTGCATTATGTCTTTGATGGAGTACAAGATATATACTATGTATTGTCTAATAAGTGCTGTTCAGTACAAAACTAGTTGATATAGTCAACGAAGGAAAAAAGTTCAAACAATGATGATAACAGATCTAGTTCTCTATTTCTTTTACATGTATATTTCAAGTTTATGTGTTTAGTTACTAGATATTCACATAATACCAAAACGTTGTCATTCTTCAGAATAAACATACAAATATTTCAACTTTCATTAACTTTCCTTTTTCCAAGGTTTGGGATCTGAAAAACATGCGTTCTCCATTGACRACAATAAATATTGATGCTGCCGTAAACAGGTAATTGTTACAAAATTGATTTAAAAATTATATTTCTCTTACAGTTCTTAGTTACACAGCTGCAATTTAAAAAGTGTCATATGAAAATCCTGAGTCAGCAGCTTGTGTTGCTTCATTGTGACTTGATTGMATTTTTAATAAATTATAAGAAAATAAGTAAATTATTATTAATGTTGTTGGCTATTTTTTTTGTGATTGACAGGTTATCAGTATCACCTATCAATAACGTCATTGCCATTCCGCATGATAACAGACACATTCGTTTGTTTGATCTTAATGGTGTGAGGCTGGCAAGGCTACCAAGAAGAAATGGACAGGTATAAAATGTTATTTTATTAATTATAAATATTGAATTAAAAAAATGCAGAACTTTTCCAATAGTTCCAAGACGAGGTTGGCAAGGGGTACTCATTGAGTTGTTGTCATATTCCTTGATTTCACAGAACGTAACAAATTCAAAGACTTTGATCATCTCTAACTAATCTTTCATGATGGTCAAATGAAAATGACAGTCTCTATGAGTTTGAGAATGGCCTACTTTTAATTACGACTTGAATGCAACATCTGATGTTCATTGACACCAAGATTCCTTTGAAATTGCAAGATTACTCTTTTATTTCTACTTTGTTCATTATTACTGTGCACAAAATTAACATTGTTTCTTGATTCCAGGGACACCAACGGATGGTTTGCTGCACAGCGTGGGGAGATGAAAATGCAACCAAAGGCTGCAATCTGTTTTCATGTGGTTTTGATAGGAGAGTGCTTGGTTGGCAAGTGATTGCAACAAAGGAAGAAAAATAATTCTTGAATATTAATATATATTTTAGTTTSTCAAGCAAACCCTTTTCTGGTTTTATTTTGCTCTGGCTTAGTCTCAAAGTTGAACAGTATCCTTTTCTTTTAGCATAAAAATGTTAAAATTCATTAAAATTGCATGAATGCATGAAAATTTCAAGAGCAGGCTAATCCAATGGGCACAGACTGTCTTCTTGGTCTTCCTGTGTTGACCGAGAAGAACTAGTGTTGAGAGTGTTGCAGTCGAGTAGAGTTGCCTACAAAGGTAGCTGGATACTTGTAAATCGTTTAAGTTAGTTGAAAGTTTTTGAATATTTTACACAGATTTGAGGCTAAGCTTGAGCAAACCAAAACTGGGAAATAGAGTATTGGTATAAATTATTTATATATTATTGCCAATGTTGTTGGGTTTGATAGTACTGCACACAATGGTATTATTATATTTCTCATAYATCACACATCACCAGTCCAATTCAAAGAGTATGGTAGTCAAAGAGTTCTGCAAATTTCTTGGTTTATTCTACCACCAAAACAGGAAGTAATATTTTTGTCTGTTACTAGAAAAACCTGGAATTCCTGCAGTGTTTGCCAATAAGTTCAATCATGACTGTCTGAGTTTTGTCAATTAACCATTTCATGTTGTTATGAACTAATGCCATATAACAGATGAGCAACTACTTTTTGATGATTTGTGCACTTTTATGTATCTTATATATCACCCGCACATGAATGGGAGTACCAACACAAATATGAAATAAAATTAATATAATATAAAAAAACTAAATTATAGCCAGAAAATTTAGAAAAATGTAATTAATTTAATTAGCCTTATCCTGTGGATGTTGTTTACTTTTCCATTCACTGATAGCTTKAATTCCTGTTACTCTTTTGTTCTATGTCTCATTATTAAAGGATTTTTTGCAACAGGGTTTAGTGTTTGTACTCTCATATGAAATGCCTTAAATTTACAATGAATATATAGCACAATGTGTATTTCTAAAAATAATTATTGTTTTAMTAAAAATGCAATTCAATAAATTTATACTTTTCACTATACAAACTTTGTTTACAGACTGCTTTTTGCATGGAGGAGGGATTGGGTGGTGGTAATAATGTGAATGGACAAATAAATTACAAATAAATTATTTTGTGACCCTTTTTAAAATTATACAAGTACATATTTTGTATTTTACATCATGTACAAATATTAATAAATACACTATGTACACTCATCTATAAAATTAGAAATGTTTATCTGTAGCAGGAAAACAATACTCAAAAATTCAATTCCTCTGGCTCATTTAGTTCAACGTGCAGACTGTCATGAGATTCACCATCCCATAATTTCTTCCACCAGGACAATTTATGCTTGCGCAKTTCTTCATTGTGTGATAGTTGAGCTTTTGCAATAACAGGCGCTGAGTTTGATTGAAACGTTTTACAAGTCTCTGCATTTGCATCCTGCAAACTTGATGACTCTGAAAATATTAAATAAAAATCTGAGTCTTGTCTGGGGTAGGGTTGATAAATTAGTTTACTTTTGAAAGGCATTATGCAGCCCCACTATCGGCTACAATGCACTATAAGTATGATGGGTGTGATCTGCAAATAAGCTGTTTTATATTTTCTTTCTAGGAACAGCACTAGTATTTYTGTTTCTGAAGAGAAAAAGCAAAAACAGCTTTCATGATATGAGGACTGAGGTTTTAGCAGACATGAAAAAGTARGAGGACTAAAACTCYATCGTGTTTTGCTGCACAAAATCAGTCCACAAAATGGTGTTGCTGCACATTGCCCATTCAAARGTGAGACAAGATGACACTTTCCACTTTGCTGTACCTAACAATAGGTCGGTATCCATCTTAAGTCTWGCTAACAAAGCGTCTCTCTTTTGCTCGTTCTTTCTTGTTTTGATGCGCATAGCAAGATGGTTGGCCAGTAAACTGTGAGCCTGTACAACAACCATGGAGATATATAACATCTTCAGTTAGTATCTATTATAATTGGCTAACAATTATGGCATTTATTAACTCATGATTTTACTTGATATATACACTGTTTATGCATATTAATTTAATTCAAAATTTCATCCTTAAACTTGACAATGAATTTTGTACCTTTTCATGTAACTCTTTTAATTCATCTGCTGATCTGTGCTTTGCCTAGAGGAAAATTTCAAGAATAATCATTAATGCTAATCAAAGTTCTTAATATTTTTACTCAAACTCCTGRAACTAACAAATTGATGATGTATGTAGCTGCATTTTTGAGCTAAAAAATATACAAGAAATTAATCTTACTGGAAATCTTTCCCTATGGTCAACAATTATATTTTGAAGCTCAACTCGTCTTGCATCYGTTAGTCCTGGGGGGATAGGGTAGGGAGTAGACTGTTCTTTAATCTTTCTGTATCTGCGATACTAAAGCATAAAATATTCTATAAAAAATATAGTTTCAAAATATGAATTCTAGAGTAAACTCATTCATTTTGTACCTGTCTTTGTATAGTTCTAGCTGCTTTGGTTCTTTGGTATTCTTTCTTGACTGATTCCATYTCCTTCCTTGTCTTCATTCCTCTAAATACAGCCTGGATTTTGCTTGCAGCTTGWTCTTGGTGTTCAACCATGAACTTGTTGACCTCTCGTGCTGGAACAGTCTCTAGCATGTGTARCTTTTTYCTTAATGTTGACCGAAATCCTTGAAGTTTCTTTTGCTCAGCTACAAGCAATTTCTCTTGTTGYTCTGTTCGTTTTTCCCTCTTTTGTTCTCTTTCCARCCGCCTCTGACGGAATTTCCTCTGAAGTATTGTKATACCCCTGTCTGCTTGTTTTAGTTGTTTTCTAATTTTGAATCCTCTGAAGTAAGCTTGAATGATTGTTGCTGATCGGGTAAGTTTCTAGGAATAAGGGAAAAATCGATTTTTTTAAAAAATCTTTCTCAATGATATGATTTGTACACTTCCATGTACTATTGCACATAATGTAAATTGATCATRATACCATCTGTGCAGCAACCGCAGCAGTTCCTGCTTCAAGAAGAGAYACCAGTCTCCTAACATCACCATCAAATCCTCTGTTATTCCATTTGCTAAGGTATGCCTTGAGACCCCTAAAGAGCAAGAACTGGCATTAACTGAAAGACTTGGAAAATAACGCAAAATGGACAGATGGTAGAAGGAAAAAGTGTGACAAAGTTAAAAAGTGAAAATGAGCAGTAATAGTAACAGTGGAGAGAATGGTAGGTATGAAGAAAGGGAGGAATGTTGAAGAGGGGAAAGATTAAATGTGAAAGAAAGGGAGGAAAAGAAATGATGGGAAGGGGAAGGATAGATGGAGGGAAAGAGGCAGTCATTTTACACTTAGTGAAAACAGCCCAGTACTTACTTATATCTCTTAGATAAGAGTATTGACACCACTTTTGGGTGTCTGTCAGTTGCAGTCAGGATAAGACGAGTAGCTCCCCTAAAAATAGATATTAAAAAGCACCTTTATATAATGTCAGTGAAAGTGAAAGGCAATATCACACACCATATTTTTACCTTCCAATAGTAGTTTCCTCTGAAGCTGAGATCTTGAAGACAATTTCATCTAATATGCTATGAAGRTTTTCTTGAGATAACTGATCAAGTACCATCCTACCATAAAACACAGAACTATGTTGTAGACTTTTGATTTGAGGTACATGAAGATATTTAATTCAAAAAATATATTATATTACCCAAATTATCTTACTGTACCTATTTGATTTCCACATTGACTCTACAACCGACATGAAAAAACGTGAAACTTCTACATCTTCTGACATCAATATRTGCAGGAAGCGCTTAGACTGAAGGACTCTTTGTGACAAAAACTGATGATATTTATACAGCATCTCCAAACCACTGATTGAGTCTTTGAATCCACCAAGAAAATATTGTTTCTCTTCACCCTGTGTATATTATTTTTCATAATGTACAATTTACTTTTACAATAATGGCAGCCCTTCATGAATCTAAGTATCCAGATGACAAGGAGATATGTTTTGTACTATGTGCTATATTCCACACATTTTCTATCTTCTAGTTGCTATTTTTTTGGGTTTTGTCATCACTACTACTGATGGATAATGATAACTGTAAATGATGGATTATAACAAACTATTGCGATCATTATCATTACATGCACAACAAATCATGCTGCAGAAATTTTAGTGGGATACTGAAATACATGTATATAAATAAATTAATGTAACTATACACAGACATTTTTAATTGATTTACATACCAAAGAAGAATTYGCATGGTTGTCAAGGAGCTTAGTAGCAATATTAAGTACACTTTCTACTATATCTGGTAAAAATGTACTTTCATATTTAGGGTCGTCTGGTATYTCTARACCAACACAACATCGRCACAGTATAACACTCAAACTTGCTGCTGTACCCCACTGACCACGTATTGCTGTAAAGTCTTGTTTCAGTGCTAAAGAAGAACAGTACTTACAGTTGAGTATGTGCAACATATTTATGTCGTGGGTTTTGTGTCGTGAGCAAGTTCATTCTTTCATTTTCAAAGTTGCTGCTAGCCAGAGTTCACTACTATGATGGGAACTAGCGGTAAACTAGTGTGAGCTGCGTCGGTGTTCTAAAGAAACAGTTATGTAAAAAGATAAATTTAACACCGTAAAAAAAGTATATGAAATAACTTACTGACATTTCGGACGTTAATCCTTCGTCGTTAATCCTTCGTCACTTTTACTCCGACGAAGGATTAACGTCTGAAACGTCAGTAAGTTATTTCACATACTTTTTTTACGGTGTTAAATTTATCTTTTTACATAACTGTTTCACTACTATGAGATTTATCTTAAGTTGAAGAAATGTCTGTGGGGTAGGTTTTGGCTTACCAAGGTTGGACACATGTACAATGTCATATGACCAGAGATCTTTTCTAATKATATTTCCTATTTCACTGTTCTCTGGACAGCTTTCTAAGATATCTGAAAAAGAATTAATACAAACATGATGGCCTACTATTACTGTGAAAAATAGTATTGAAAAACTTGAAAACCTATAGCTCTCACTATGCTTCCAATCCATCGCTGCAGACACCAGCATGCCCATGCAATTATTGCAAGGCACCGCTGTATGCAAAGTGACGTGGACACACCACTGTATATAAGTGTCTCTACATGCAACGTGTACCTATATTCAAGGTTCCCCTGCATATATGCAAGATGTTTGTATATGCAACCTAACAACACTGAATGCAAGGCGTCCCTATTGCAGTTCAAACATGCTATTTAAACAGAAATGAAATTTAGAGCAACTGAAAAAAGACTGAAGAAATCTAATGCGAAAATTAGCCTATAAATAGAAGTATTGACTTATTTGCATCGTAAGCAATACCTTTCAAACCGAGTAACAAAACTGGAACGTTATTGTCATCAGTTTCAGCAACCTCTGCGGCAAGATGCAAAGCCTTTTCTCTCATTAGAGGCACTTCGTCCAAGTCTGTATCACTGTCCATTATCAACAAGAAATAATCTGGGATAAACAGAGAATARCTCAAAATTGCTTTACCGTCCACACTAAACTAAATTTTGCCTAGATAAAAGACTCCGTGGTCGACTTGGCATTCCCCTGTCAAGCGCCATGTTTGAATCAACAGCCGCTGTCAACAATGTTCGACATGTTATTTTATATTATCCAATGAGAGACTGTGTTATATAACGCAGTTCCGTTATCAACCAATCACAAAGAGTTTTAGACTGCATCTTCTTAAGGTTGAACTCGAAGAGCGGGAAACTTTCCTGGTGAGCTCGGCCATTAGTACGACAAATTTACAATACGAAAAATCTCGCATAGGTTTGCATTCGAAGCTTGTTAATCATGGGAAAAAAGAAAGATAAGATTGAACCAACTAAGCAAGAACCAGAAGTCGATAGCGAAGAGCTCGACGAAGAAGAATATGAGGTCGAAAAAGTCGTCGACAAAAGAACTGTCGGCGGAAAAGTTGAATATCTTCTAAAGTGGAAGAACTACCCCGATAGTGACAATACYTGGGAAGCCCAAGAGGGTTTGCAGTGTCCAGAGCTTATAGAAGAATTTGAAAAGACGCGAAAAGAAAAGAAGAAACTCAAAAGTGCGAAAAGAAAGGATAGTTTATCGAGGTAACTTTACTATCGCGTCCTCTCGTAGTAGTCCGATCCATGCCTGCAAATGCTTACATAACTTAAGCTCCCAAGAATTAATGCCTTTAGGGCATTGGACTGTTGTTTTTTCACTTTATGCACATGTGGGATGTGTTTATAGTTGTTTGATTTAAGTTATGTGCATAAAGAAGTTACGAAAGTTCCAAATTCATATATCTAACTACAGCTTGCATGGAACTGTTCTCGTGGTGTCCTTATCGTTTCTGATATGAAAGTTGCACGTGCTCCAAAATATTTGGAAAAGAACGTTCTTTCATTTAGACACAAATATTTCTTTTATTTTTCGAAAAAGGGCGTAGATTTGTACATTTCATGGACGTTGAAACCTATTAATTAAATCATATAGATTTTGACTACATGTTATACACAAAATTGATTTTTTCCCCATAAAAAAGATTGATTTTTGTACAAGTTTCTGTTTTTCTTAGGTTTTTATAAATCTTTTTATATTGACTTTTCGGTTGTTATTATCTTAGTCTTGTGAAGGTTTGCAGTAGCTTTTTGTAGAACTAAAAGTGGAAAATTTTTTATAGAACTAAAAGTGGAAAATTGTCAAGTGGAAAATTGTCATTGCTAGTTGTAATGATATTGAGCATGATGCATACCAAGAAGATGAAAAAAAAGAAGATAAATATTGATTAAATATAAAGATAAATCTATATTTTCAAGACATTTGATATTGTAAAATTGTTATGTGAACAATGTCATCTAGTGCCTTTAAAAACATAGTAAAAATCCAGTCAATTTAAGTATATTATGAACAATATCTTGACTAACCTGCTTACTTTTTAGTGACAAAGAAGCCAAAGCAAAGAAAAGAAAAGTCACCAGTTCATCTACCGAGTCCACAGAACCCAGCATGGTGATGAAGGCTGTTGAGGTTGAGGACTACAAACTTGATCAAAGAGACCCAATTAGCGAGGGATGGGAGGCAGAGGTGATTCTTGGTGCAACAGAAGTTGACAGTCAAATCCACTTTTTAGTACAATGGTAAGGTTTGGATTAATTCTCCTAATAATCTGCTAATTGAAAAATCAATGAACATTTACCTCAATACTTGTCTTAACTTTTGGTTTTGTGAATTCTTTACTTTCTTAACTACAGTGTGAATTGTTAAATTGCATCAATCTTGATATCTTCTTATTTCTCTTCATTTATATCTTCTTATTTCTCTTCATTTAGGAAAGGAACAGACAGAGCTGACCTTATCCCTGCTAAAATTGCCAATGTCAAATGGCCACAAATAGTTATCAAATTTTATGAAGAACGAGTCACCTGGACRAATACAGAAAACAGCGCAGCACAAGTAAAAGCAAGCTAGAAAAGATGTSTGTTAAAAAACAACTGACTATGAACATCATCTTGTTGGTGAGAGTAAAGGAAACYTTAGATTTGAAGCTACATTGATCTTTCTATTAATCCCATGTACAGTCTTTTAAAATGATTATCTGAARCTGCTTGGCTGAACAGTTCATTGTTTATTTTAATATGATCATGATTTGGATGGGGTTAGTAAGGAAAGCTGTAGATTTTATGCCACCTYTTCTTTCGATTAATGCCATGTACAGCATTTTAGATAACTAAAACAGTTTGTTAGATATTTTACTATGTATACTAGCCATATACACCAAGTTAAAGAGATGTTGTTATGTTCAAAATTGTGGGTGAWAGATACTGTAATCCAAGTGGTTTATGGGATGCTATTCAATTTACATGTACACAAACRAAGAACCATCTAAATTAACATGAACGATTTTTAGGATTATATTWTTGATTTCAAGTGTTCCTTRCAWCACTTGGTTGCCACCATGTAATTGTTAACATTTCTTCAACGGGATCATATATGGATCGCSCAATGTAATATGGCTTTTTGATAAAACCATTAAATATAATAGGAGCAGTAAAGCTAACTGATGAGCTTTGTCAAGGAACTGTCATCTATATATAATGAAACAAAGTAGTATTTGTACTACATGTAGTAAGACTTGAGACTGAAATATGTTTTAATTAATTTGAACAAAAAGAAACACTTTTTTTTTCTTGTGTGTAAATCTAGTAATGCCAATAATGTAGTGAAGCAAAGATCCCTGATATTTGTGGGAATTAGTCAAATCCAAATGCAAGCAATGGAACAAGGTGTATAAGTGTAATATCAGTGTTTTGACTCAGTCAAAACACTGATATGTCTTTACTCTTATGCACTTAATAGTCTCCCTGATTCTAATGTTTCGCTGTACATTTTGTACATGTAGGCACTTTMCACACAGGAATAGATTTAAAACTGTTGGATTAGAAATAATGTACTCGAGGTTTAGGTTGCCTTAAGCTTTAGCAAGTGGGATTTTTGGAGTGAAGGCACACATTTCATGTTGTCATGATTTTGTTTTGATGTGTACCATGGCTCTTCAAGGTTACACCCTAGTAGATTGTACAACTTGAAATCTTGATATTTGCTTTTATCTTTTTTTTTGTGTGTCTTACATATTATTTTGTTACTGTTTTGCAGTATTTATTTTGGATGTATGTGTGTCTTCACTCCATGAAATGATTCAAAATCATCCTTATATGATGGTCATACAGTAYAAACTACTTTTTGAAAGAATACAGAATATTGCATACTATTGAGCACTTAGCCTTAACCMACTAGACAATAATAGTCTATTTGTAGTCAAGTTCAGTTTTATAATGGGTTTTCAATATTAGGTTGGACATGGAAGCCTACTTTAATCACTCAGATCCTAGTATGCTGTATTCATATTTTTTTGGAATAGTTGCGCATTAGTTTTTATGTATAAAGATATTTAGTTATGGAAACTCTTGATTTTAAAATATCTATTTTAACATTACTTTGTTGTAATTAACTCGTAAGTATATTGTATTAATAAACTGAATTACATTTAACTTGCTGTATGTTTAGAGTGTAACTGATGAAAGACTGGTGGAAGTGAAGTATGAAATACAACGAAGGTTCCATTTTGGTAGTGAACATGAAATGGTTGTGCTTGAGCATTTTGTGATTGCAAAGGCAGACTATTAAGCCTGTAGGTTGTGTCTGGTGATTCA